CTGTGGAAGGGCAGAAAGTTTGCAGATAACACCAAGTTAGGCAGTTGCCACAATTTGCTTAAGGGTAGGGAGGTTCTGTGGAGGGATCTAGACAGGCTAGATCAAAGGGGTGAGGGTAATTGTAGGAGGTTCAACAAGGCCAAATGCCAGGTCCCACACTTGCGTCATAACAATGCCATGGAAGTCTACAGACTCGGGGATGTATGGTTGGAAGATTGCACATTGGAAAAGGACCTGGGGTTGTTAGTTGATAGGTGGCTGAATACGAGCCAGCAGTGTGCCCAGGTGGCCAAGGCCAATGCCATCCTGGCTTGTATTAGAAATACTGTGGCCAGTAGTAGGGAAGTGATTGTGTCCCCCCCGTGCTCAGCACTGGTGAGGCCACATCTCCAGTATTGAGTTCAGTTCCAGGCCTCTCACTACAAGGACACTGAGGTGCAAGAGCATGTCCAGAAAAAGGCAATGAGGCTTGTGAAAGGTTCAGAACACAAGTCCTATGAAGAGCAGCTGAAAGAACTGAGATTCCTTAGCCTGGAGAAAAGAAGGTTGGGGGCCAGACCTTATTGCTCTTTACAACTCTCTGAAAAGGTGGTGGAGAGAGGAGTGGGTCAGCTTTTTCTCCCTAGTAGCAAGCAATAGGACTATAGGAAAGGGCTGAAAGTTGTGCCAGGGAAGGTTTAGGCTGACCTTTTCACCAAAAGGGTCATTGGGCATTGGAACAGACTGCCCAGGGCAGTAGGGGAATCGTCATCCCTGGACACACTTAAGAAACATCTTGAACTGGTGCTTAGGGACATGGTTTAGTGGTGATCTAGTAGTGCTAGGTTAATGGTTGGACCAAATGATCTTAAAGATCACTTCTGACTAATTAGATACTTGGTTCTCTGACAGTTCAGCTGCATTGCTTCAGAGCATGAATGCCCCTGTAGCTCCTGTTGGGGATGGCATTGTCGGCTAGGTAATTCCAGGAGACACGTTATCACTTTCGCAATAAACTTATAGAGAAACATTTACACCAACCAATCCGTTCAGGTGTTGATAGCTGTTTCTTTATAAAAAAGGCCACCATTGCAGGGGCTTGCTGAGCAGTCACAGGTCCTTGTCCTGTGCCCATGTCATTGGGAGTCCTGGAAGATGTCCATGACCTAGGTGTTGACACAGAAGTAGATGATGATGTCTTTCCCTTGTGACAGCACTTTGTCACTCTCAGCCTCCTTGGCCAAGGTAATTGGCTCATTTTCTGGCTGCCCCCTTTGCTGCCCCCACCCACGCATGGGTTTCCAGCTGCTCCAGCACATCATGTTTGCTCATGGCATCCTTCAGGAGCTCCGGTTGTCACAGGTTGAAAAATTAATTCACCCTTGTCATGGTTTAACCTCAACTAGTAACTATACACCTCACAGCCACTTGCTTACTCCCCCTAGGTGGGACCTGGAGGAGAATAAGAAAGGTAAAAGTGAGAAACATATAGGTTGAAATAAAAATAGTTTAATAATTAATAATTTCTTTTTAGAAATTGTAAGAAAAAAAAAAACAAAGGAAGAAGAAAATAAAACCCAAGAAAAACAAGTGATACAAATGAAAACAATTACACACTATCAATCAGTGGACACTCAACAGGCCCCCTGCCAATTTCTACACCCCAGGTTTATTGCTGCACATGATGTCATATGGCATGGAATAGCCCTTTCGTCAGTTGAGGTAAACTGTCCCAGCAGTGCCCCCTCTCAACTTCTTGTGCACCTTCGACCTACTTGCTGACAGAGTTACGTTAGGAGCAGAAAAGTCCTTGATGTTATTTAAGCACTGTTCAGCACTAACTAAAACATCTGTGTGTTGCCAATACTATTTTCAGCACAAATCCAGAACATAGTGCCATACAAGCTACTACTAAGAAATTTAATTCTATCCCAGCCAAAATCACTTCCCACCCCTTACTCCATACCATTTATATCATGCTCAGGCCTCACATTATCACAATACATCCCTCATCCACCACCTTCATTCTCCTTTCCCATTCTTTAGGGTGCATATATATACACTGAGATACCATTCCCTTAGTCTGTTGACCACCACCTCCTGTAAAATGTCCATGAATGTCAATAAAATCTTCATTGTGTTCATTTAATCTATGACTTTGGGCTCCATCTGTGATTGCGTTCACTCAGGACACAACCCTTGATCACGAATCCATTCCTATGCTGCATCCCTTCTTAGACGTGTCACAGGCTCATTGAGCTATAAATAGCTCACTGTTATTTTCCCACTCCAAATCCACCCAAGCTACTGCAATTCTAGCAGCCTGGTCCACCAGCTCATTGTTTCGATGTTCTTCAATGGCACAAGTCTTGGGTGTGTGAGCATCCTGTGGCAGGTGCTTCACCCCCCACCTCTAGCTGAGAGTTGCCAGGCGGATTTCAGAGAATCTGCTGAAACGAAAAGCCAGGCAGATTTACCTAGGCTAGTTTCGAAACTAGCTCACCGACCTGGAAACACGCCCACAGTGCTGGCTGGCAGCCAATTAGAGGCCAATATGGCTTGATTGACCACCATTCAAATTCAACTGAGTTTAAAACGGGCTGTGCTAGAGGTCATAGTCGGAGGTGCCATGAAGCAGTTGGCCTGCAGGTCAGAGTCCAACATCCCCCTTAGAAGGGGCACTTTCTAAGGACCAACCTTGAGGCTGAGAGGTGGAGACCCTTCTCATCTTCCCAAGGTGAGCATATTTCTGAATTATCATTCTTTTTTTGAAGTCTGGTGGTTTTGCTCTTTTCAATTGATCCCCAAACCTTTAAATTTGGAGGAGCTTTCATTCCATAAATAAATTTAATTTGATTATGCACATGGATTTATTTTTCGGATATGGGCACGCTCGTCACCTCCTTCTTTACACGTCTACATGACATATTTTTACCACCAGGTTCTCTAACTGAGCTGCAATATCCTGACACAATTCAGAAGGCCAGAAGCATTTACCTTTCTGCTACCAGGTGGTCTGTTTCCATTGCAGTAGCCTGCCTCACAGAGTATTTCCTACCATCCACGAGTCAGTATAGATTTTCCTCATGCAGCAATATCTAAAGCCAACTGGATGGCTTTCACTTTTGCAAATTGACCCAATTCACCTTTTCCTTCAGCAGTGTCAGAGACTTGTACAGGAACTCACACAGCAGCTTTCCATCTCCAATGTCTTCCCACAATAAAACAGGGCTTACTTGGTTTCATGTGCAAGTAATTTACTATACAGTGGGGCCTCTTCAGCAAAAGCTACCTGCTCTGATAACACTCCAAAGTTTCAGCCCTCTGGCCAGTCCATGATCCCTTCTAAGATTGCTAGGCACTCAGGATTTTCCATTCCAGTCTGTTGCATCCATGGAAGTTTTTAAGACAAGGTTGGATGGGGCTCTGAGCAGCCTGATCTAGTGGGGGATGTCCCTGCCAATGGCGGAGGGGTTGGAACTAGACGATCTTTAAGGTCCCTTCCAATCCTGACAATTCTATAATTCTATGATTATCAGTACAACCCACTTACTTGATGTAGCATCAGTTTTACAACACAGAAGACCCTTCCTTTAGACATCCAGCTCAGCACAGGCAATAGAGATGCCAGCAGGAGCCACGATTCAGAATCAACTATTTCTGAAGAAGCTCAAACTCCTTCATAAGCTGCTAATATTTCTTTTTCAGTTGGAGTGTTACAGGACTGATAAAGACAGGACAGGAGGTGAGGAGCAGGGAGAGACATTCTTAACAATAAGCAGGGGCTGGTTAGCTCAGTCGGTTAGAGCATGGTGCTGATAACGCCAAGGTCACATGCTCACTTCCCACTCGGTCCCCATGTGTTCTCTGATCTCGTTGAGAGGCGTCCCTGCCCATGACAGGGAGGTTGGATTAAATGATCTCTAAGGTCCCTTCCAGCCTAGGCCATTCTATGATTCTATGATCTGTTTTAAGTGAAACTCAAAATTAGCTCGGAGAAATCAGAAGCTTTCACATACTATACCTACACAGTTGTAGTTAAATTGAAACACAGAAGCCTGGTTCATTGCCATAGTTGATATAAAATTGCGATTTATTGATTATTCAAAATTACTAATCCTCTGATTAGTAATTCCTCACAGCAGAAACAAATACTACAATAGATTTTCAGTCATGTTCTACATGAAAGACAAGTAATCTGACTAGACCATCTCATTCTATGGTAGAAAGTCTTTGAATTTGATTTTCCCAACCTGTCATTTGCATCTACTTTAAGCTTCTACAAAATCTCAGTTACAGAGGTGCAACTGCAATCAAAATTTAATCAGAAAGAGCTTTGATCTCACTAAGGGCCAAAGGATTTTGCAGAAACATTTTCTCTAACAGATTTGAGGCATCATGTACCTACCTTTTTTAACAAACACAGCCAAGGATCACTCAAAAAACTTTCCTTGGGAGAATGCCTGAAGCCTTCCTCAGATCTGCCCCTTTTCCTGCCTGGAAGTTATCCAAACAGAATCAGAAGGCTTCAGCTCATGGGCCTGGATTTTCCTTCCATCTGGATTTTCCTTCCATCTGGCAATCCCAGACAGATGTACACCTAACAGTTCTTCAGTACATATACAGAGTCTATAGCATATGAGCTATGTTGATGAAAGAGTAGATCCATTGCTCACTGAAGTCACTGAAGACTTGCTATGAAGTGCTATGTGTAAATGCCATTCAGAAAATTTCAGAGTCAGTCCCACAAAGGGCATCTCCCAGGCACAGGTGGTGTTTGTCTTAAGTCTAATAAGGATATCCTGACTAACTTGTACATCACCATGGGCTTGCTGTCATCATTGCTTCTTGCTCACTCTTGCCCATTTTAGAAAAGGCCTTAAGCTCTGTATTAGAAGTATTTAATGCTAAAATAGTAAAATTATCTGGAATCCTCTGAAAGACATTCTTAGGCTCATTAGGCTCATCTACTACTACATACAAAATTTAAAAGGCATCAAGAAAGGAAGTGTACTGAGATATTACAAGGAATCTTGAAACCTAGTTTTTAAAGCAAAATCAGCACTGAGTTTCCTCATGACTTCAGCATGACTCAGGCCATGCTGCTCTGTTTCAGTAAGTCCGTAGTTTTCTTTCACATACTTTGCAAAGGGCATTAGATGTGTTCTAGCAAGAGTGCCATCCTTTCGAGTGGGCTGACTCAGGGTCAGCTGCCCCCCACAGAATGCACACACAAAGCACTCTGTGTCCAGAGACTTGGAATGACGTCCAATCCTGAAATGAAAAAATAAGGACTTGTTAGAAAGGGCTCCTTTCTCTTTTGCCAGGCTACTTAGGTCAGACTTCTAAGTTCCCATTTTAGAACATGAAACAGACTACATCCTTGACACAGTGGAGCAATCAAATCTGTATTACACGATTCTCTACCTTAGAAATTTTTTCCACTGCCTTTTCAGCTTGGTTCCTTCCCTCTGTCTCTCTTACTCTCAGCCTAGCAGTACAAAGCACTACAACATTCTGAAACACCTTCACAGCCCAGGTATCAACCACCTGTTGGAGCTTTTCCTCAAAGTCATCACCATCAAATCTTCTCAGTGCTCTGCTGCATCTAAGCAACTAATGTTTTGCATAATCAAACACTTCACAAAGATTCTTTCATATATGAAATATAGATTCCTTCTGGAAGTAGCATGTATCCCGAGGAAAAAAAAAAATCCCATATATCCTTTTCTAAACATGCATTTAGCCCCTAAAGTGGAGGAGGGGAGTGGGAGGAGGGGTGAGGAGTAGAGGTGGAAGAAGAATTGTGGGAAATTATCAGCCTTTCCTGTGTCAATCCACAGTGACCATAAGTCAACAAAGAATTACTGAGTTTGGGAGCTGAGCAAGAGGAGAGTTAATGTGCTTATCTCACACAGGGTTTTAGCAAGGATAAGAGTTAACAACTTGCTTATCTGGCCAAGAAACAAGACAGATGTAGAGGTTTTTGATTACATGCTCAGATAAGGCCTGGCAACAATAGCAACTGAGAAGCCTCAAAGTCCACCACTGTTTCAGTGAAGTCAAAGAAGCAACCAAGTCTCGCTTCCTCCCCTGCTTTTTTCTTGCCAACAATATAACAAGCTTTGTTAGAGCACTCAAGTCCCATCTCATCAAGAGTATAAATCTGGCTCCCTGGCAATATCTCAACTGAAAGGAAATACTGATTTTAGCTGCTAGGCAGATTGGCAGGTATGACTCATTCTCCTTTCCCTGCTACCAGGGATGCCTCTTTTGGTAAGAAACTGCAACTCTTTTTTGTGGATAATGCCCGAGTGAATGAATGAATTACGTATTTTGATTAAATTTGGCTAGCTGTAGAATATTTAGTGCTTACACAACAAATGTATTTATAAATGGCAATTCCAAAACTGTTAAATCTGTTGCTTTAATAAATTATCTACCTATTCAACTCTGAAAAACTGTTTCAGTGCAAGTCCTTGGGGGACTCTGATAGGCAAGTTGACTCTAAGTCTTTAAGAGGAATCTGATAGAAAAACACTCACTGTAATAAGTAGCTACATGCATAATCCTTTAGACATAAATCATCGACCAAGTCTGGGACTAAGACTAGATCTAGCCACACCTACACTCCTCTCTGAGGACAGAGTTTAGAAAGCAACAGTGTCCTTTCTGAACGTTGTAACTGCGTGGGCCAAACCAGGCAGGACACAGGAAAAAACACAAACCATGACTGAAATGCAAAAAGTACCTGAGAATTTGAAGAATCTTTGCAGCAGGACCCAGATGAGGCATACAGGCAGCGATCACAAGAGCAGCTTGATAAGCAGCAGCGCAGACATAAGGAAATCTCTCCTTGCTGGAAAGCGTGTGGTACTTAGCCCACTGCTTTGTTATGTTTTACTTGCTGCTCTGCCCGAGTTCCCAGGACTCACATGATAGCTTTGCAGGGCAGGAATGTGAGAGATATCCCCACATCTATGCCAGGCCTCTGTTACCTAAACGTGTGTGTGCTCCTTGTCAAGCACACAAGGCCATGCAGTAATCTAGCATGATATATGTTTTTTGACACCTTGAGTGCAAGTCATGTAAGTATACCTACAAACCTCCTCACCAGTCTTACCGTAATTCAATTGGAGTTGTATCAAAATCAATCTGGATGCATTTAACACAACAGGAAAAACAGTGGTTTTTAAAAAAATTAAGAAAACTAATCCAAGAAACAACCCCATAAATCACACCACTGTCAGCTACTTTCCTGGGCTATGCAGAAATGAATTCACTAAATTTCATGCTCTCCCACTGATACTGAAGTCATTACATACAGAAGCCTCTGTATGTGGTGAGCTATAGTCTTCCAGAAAAGGCAACACATTCCATATGCATGAAAGTAAGAAACCTGTGAAATTACTATCACAACTATTTCTTCTGCTTGATCTCAGCAACATACATAGTTCTCTTTTCACAAATGCAGTAAGACAGACAGAGGTTTGATGACCAGTGTTGCAATCCAGTAGATCTGTGTCCTTCACATCAGTGCTACTCATATCTGTGTGTCTGAAGACACGTATTTTTCCTTTAATATATACACAGTCTGGAAGAGTCCAGGAGTTAAAAGATTAACTAGAAAGTTGACTATAGTTTTTATAGTTTTAAACCAATAGAAATTATTCTATTGTCAGCCTCTACATTTCATTTAGCACTACCATAGCAAAGATATAAGATTAGTAAAAATGTTTCATCTTAATTCAAAGTCATCAGGAAAAGCTTCCTCTGATACTTTGTTCCAATATCTAATTACTGTCACACTTTTTGTCATTTTTAATGGCGATTTATTCTGCTTTTTAAGTCTGTTTTTGATGCTGAAAGAAGTCCATTACTATAGTCTTTAAAAGGATGAGCATATAAAAAAGTAACTCAGTCCCCCATGCCAAGTCTAGCAATCTCTTGTGGACTGTTTTTCCCTTAGACCAAACCTAGATTGCTGTCATGGCACATTCAAGATATTACTTTAAGATGTAAAAAGTAAATAGATTTAAAAAGAACTTGAAATGTGTAATACTTTACTTACATGCATTCTACAGGGATGTGCCAAATTCAATCATTGCTCAATTGGTGTAGACCCAAAAGTATTACTCCTAATGTACTACTTAGTTAAGAGTGGAAATATCACCCCTTAACAGAAAGACTACAATAGGATCAGTGTTGATCATGAAATCAAAGATAAGTGGCCAAAAACCTTCATAAGTTCACTTAATGTTAAAAATAGTAAAAGGTGAATCCAAATCTACATCATTTGAGCAACATTTGAAAAGTGAGAGCATCCACATGGGAGGCAACCATGTCCTTCAAAGCTGAGGCATGTGTTCTGATCTCTTACTACCTCCAAAAGACCTTTAATCATCACCAAGGGTGAGGATCATTGGAGAAGATATTTCCGCCTGTCATAACCTCTGAACTGGAAATGAAACGATCTGGAATCAAACATGTAGAAACACGCAGTGAGGTTCCACGCAGGAAATGTGAAGAGACAACTCAAGAGAATATCCAAACTGCTTCTTGGTTTAAGAGACCCATAATTTCTAGACACAGGAGACTGCCAAGTTAGAAACAGTTAGTACAGAGTCATATGCAAGATCAAAACATTACTTACATAGCTTTGCACATAACACACTCATAAAAGAATTTGTAATTAATCTCATAGCTGTGGCATCGAGTCACAGCTGGCAGTTCTGGATGAATCACAGCTGATTTATTGGCGTAGAATCTCCAGAATCGTCCATGCCCATCACGAATACCATTGATCAGCCAGGTGGCTGCATGGCAAGCCTCATGGATTAGTGTATCTCGAAGTCGATCTTGAGGTAAGGCAAACAAAAGACAAGAACATTAGTCAGGTATGGGGAAGTAAAGACTCATCCTTTGTCACATTCATTCTTTATTAAGATTCAAAAGTTATTTTGCACATTGGAATTGCACATTTTGATAAGATAAAATGCCCCCAAACAAGGTCTTACTCAATGCATTTCCAATTTTGTGATGAACTTTAGCTCTGCATCCTACTTACCTCCCTGCATGCTTAATCTATTCATGTGTCCTGGGTTTAGCTAAAACCCCAGTCCTGTTTAGTGATTTTTAGTTTCCAGTTTAGTCTCTTCTAAAAGGCTGCACATTCTGAAGTCAGCAGCATGATTTTGCAGACAGTGTGTGCTACTGGCAGTGGTAACACCTGATGTTTACAGTCACTGCCTGGGACTGGGATGCAGAAAGGCTCCTGCTGATATTTATTCCTATAGTGACCAAGGCCACTGCCGGCTCCTGTGTGCCACGCTGGAGGTGCCAGGTAGTAAGAGGGGTCACAAGAAAGTAAAAGGTTGAACTCCAGGGAGTAATAGACAGGACAGGTGACCAATGAAAGTATTCCATCCCATATACATCATATTTAGTATAAACTGAGTGATCACGAGAGTTTTGTTCTTTTTCTGCAATGGCCAGTGTCCAGAGAGGACTCCATCTGACCTCCTGTTCTTGATCCGGATCCTGACTTCTCGAATCCAGCTCCCTGTATCCAGCTCCCACCGCCACTGAGCCTGGGGCTTCCCCAGTGCCTCCTGCTCTGCAGCATCAGTGGTGATTGATATCAGGGGAGGGAGTTGGGTTTGATATCGGGCTACTATCTTTAATTTTATATAGTTCTTTACTTTTATCATTCCATTATTATTTTCTATTATTGTTTCATTAAAGCTGTTCCAGTTTTTTTTCTCCTCTAACTCGTAAGTCTCTCTGCCTCATTCCCTTTCCCTTCCCATTTGGCGGGAGGAAGAGGGGGTTAGAGAGCATCTGTCCGTGTTAGAGAGCATCTGTCCGGGTTAGTGGCCAGCCAAGCCCTAACCTATGACATCATGTTTTCCGTTGTTTGAGATTTTTCTGTTTTGGTTTGATTTTTTTAACAAGACCTGAAATACCTTCATTTAGACCAAGATTCACTGATTGTTTTGTAACTATGATTTTTTCCATCCAGAAACAACTAGAAGAGAACACAGAATACTCTCCACAATTAGAGTATTTCAAAAGGGACCTACAATGATTATCTAGTCCAACTGCCTGACCAGAAGTTAAAGCCTATTATTAAGGGCATTGTCCAAATGCCTCTGTCCTGGTCTGAGCTAAACAGAACCAATTCTGTTATTTTACTTTTCTGCTAAGACTCTTCTAAGTGACTGCATTTTATAAAGTTAACATCATGGCTTTTTGCAAACAGTGCCTGCTACTATAAGTGATAACACCTGATGTTTATATAGTTACTACCAAGGACTGGTATGCAGAAAGGCTATGCTTATACTTGCTCTCATAGTGACCAAGACCACTGCTAAATCTTGTGTAACACATTGTGGATGCTGGGAAGTAAAAGGTTGCACCTCTAGGAAGGAACATGCAGGACAGGTGATCAACAAAAGTATTCTATTCCATATATGTCATAAAGCTCAGGGATCACAGGGGTTAAGCCACCTTCTTCAATGGCTGGCTTCTGAAGAGGACTCTGTTTTTCTGCCTTTTATCATGATCCCAAATTCCTGAATCCAGATCCTGTATCAGTTTCCCTCTGCTGCTGAGCCTGTAACTTGCCCAATGCCTGCCTGCTCTGCAGCATCAGTGGTGACTGCTATCAGGACGAGGGAGTCAGATTCATATCAGTTTTGTACATATTTATATATATTTCATTATTTTTGTTATTTTCCTTATTAGTACTACTGTTTTTATTAAAGCTGGTTTAGTTCTCTTTTCCAAACTGTAAGTTTCTTTGCCTTACTCACTCCTTTTCCCTTCAGATGCGGGAGGGGTGGTTGGAGGGCATCTGTCAGTGTTTAGTGGCTGGCCCAGCTCTAATCCTTGACACTCTTAAACACTGTGCCAGGCACGGGGCATCAACCACCTCTCTAGGAAGCCTGTTGCAGTGTTTGGCCACCCTCTTGGTAAAGAAATGCATCATAATGCCCAGTGTAAACCTCCCCTGGTGCCACTTGGCAGCATTCCCACACATCCTATCACTGGACACCAGGGAGAAGAGCTCAGGACCTCCCTCTCACCCTTCTCATGAAGTTAGAGAGCCATGAGGTCACCCCTCCTTTCTCCAAATCGGACAAATTCAAAGTCCTTAGCTGCTTCATAGGACATTCCTTCCAGCACTTTCACCAGCTTTGTTACCTTTCTCTAGATGCATTCAAGTACCTTCACATCCTTCTTAAATTGTGAGGCCTATAACTGCATACAGTACTCAAGGTGAGACCACACCAATACAGCAGGATAATCATCTATTTTTGATCAGCTAGTTATACTGTGTTTGATGCATCCCAGGATGGAGTTTGCCCTCTTGGCTACCAGGGCACATTGCTGACTCATATTGAACTGCTGCTCACCAGCACCCCCACATTCCTTTGCAGAGCTGCTCATCAACCACTCTTCTCTCAATTTATACTTGTGTCTAGTGTTACTTCATCTTAGGTGCAGAATGCAGCCTATTAAACTTAATTAATCATCACCCAATGCTCCAATCTATCTAGAGCTCCCTGCAAGGTATCTTGTCCCTCACAAGAGTCAACAGCACCTCCCAATTTGGTATCATCAGCAAACTTGCTAATGGTGCATTCAGCTGCTGCATTCCAGACCACTGATGAATTTATTGAATGACATTGTCCCCCCACTCATGGTCCTCTGACTCAGAGGACTGTACAGCCCAAGGTATGTCAGTTTTATTAAAGATGGAGGTGGGGGGAAAAAAAAAAAGCAGCATTGCATGCTTTCATTTTTTCCTCATGCCTATTACTCAGATGATTGTCTTCAAGAAATGTCAGTCCAATGGTTTCTTTAAAGCTCCTCTTGCTTTAAAAAAGCACTTCTGTTATCTGACACAACGCTACCAATTTCAACTCTAATTGAGCCTTCTGTCTTCTCACTACAAAACCACAGCTCTGTAACCTTCCTGTGAAAACTGACTTTGCCTTCAGAGATCATACAATATCTTTTTGCTCCTGAGCTCCCAAAAAGAGTTCCCTGCTCAGCCAAGCCAGTCTTCTGCCCACACAATGGAATTGCCTGCTCCTATGCTTCTAAAAAGGTGCTTCTCAAAAGCTGACCAGCACTTGTGGACTGCTAGGCACTCAAAAACAGATCCTGGAGAACTCTGTTATCTCTCTCAAAATTTATTAAGCTTACTTCAAAATATTCTATTAATTACAGAACTGGTTCTCCTATGGTAACTGCAAAATTCATTTCACCAAATTAGAATCATAGAATCAATAAGTTTGGAAAAGACTTCCATGATCATCAAGCTCAATTGTTTACCCAAAACTACTATGACCACTGAATCATGTCCCAAAGTGCCACATCTAAACATTTTTCAAACACTTCCAGGGATGGTGACTCCACCACTTCCCTAGGCAGCTTGTTCCAATGCCTCACCACTCTTCCAGTAAAGAAATTTTTCCTAATATTTAATCTAAACCTCCCCTGGTGCAACTTGAGGCCATTTCCTCTCATCCTATCAGCAGTAACTTGAGAGACAAGACCAACAACCACTTCACTACAATCTCCTTTCAGGTAGTTGTAAAGAGCAATGAGTTCTCTCAGCCTCCTCTTCTCCAGACTAAACTATCCCAGCTCCCTCAACTGCTCCTCATCAGACATGTTCTCCAGATCCCTCACCAGCTTCATTGCTCTTCTCTGGACCCACTCCAGCACGTCAATGTCTTTCTTATACTGCAGCGCCCAAAGCTGAACACAGTACTCAAGCTGTCGCCTCACCAGTTCCGAGTACAGGGGCACAATTACTTCCCTGCTCCTGCTAGATACACCATTTTTGATACAGGCCAGGATGCCATTGGCCTTCTTGGCCACCTGGGCACACCACTGACTCAGTGGGAGGTGATGAGAAGAAATTACAGTTACAGTACCCACTTATTCAAGATAATATGAAATTTCAAAGCAGGGTCCAGTTCCAGATTTCTTAAACTTCATATTCATGGTTTTACATAAAGAAGTTGCTTTCTCAAAGAAGAATCAACTTACCTTTTCTTTTACCTACCTGCAGAGTCACACACTTTCTCAGAAAGTTCTATGCGAGCATAACGCTTTGCTTCAGGACCTTCTGTCTGCCCAGTTACACAATATCCTGCTGTTTTTCTCATTTTCTTATTCCAGATTATTACCATTTTCTCTGGTAACTGAAAAATAAAACAGTACATATAGTGTGCGCTCTCTTACCTATCTTATCATCCTCTAGCTTCCCCTTATATTTACTGCAAAGCCAGTACAGGATGTCTGTTAGTGCCTTTAACAGTGTTGGCACTTAAGATGCAAATCCACTCTTCATGGATAGTTATTAATACAACAACACCTCACTGCACCGCAGGCATTTCATTTGCACTAAACAGCCCTTAAAGTTGTTTCCTGGTGTTTTGTGGAGAGCGTGTATATTTAAGAATACAAACACATTGTTAGCATCCACAATAGTCTATGATGAGAATTTCTACAGCTTAGTAATTTACAGGTCAAATACCATCTGCATCGATTGTTCTGAACCTGCAACTTGTCATTTTAATTTGATTCACCTTCACACTGTACAGGTGAATAATCATCCCTTGCCTATCCTCTGTGCTGCTCCTGATTTTCAAGCCCTCGTCGTATCTATCTTGGTTAGCTCTGTTGTTTTATTAACAGGTTTCTGTCATCTAAAATAGTTACTGAGCTTAAGTAAATGGTCGAACTGCAATAAGTGCCAGCAGTTACAGGGCTGAAGCACTGGGGAGCAAGATATTTTGTTTTCAGCAATCGTGAGACTGTTCAGCTCAGCTTTAAGTAAATCATGACCTTAGCCTGTCCCTGAACAGCTCAACAACATTTTCTCAGTGGCAGAGAAACATTTTCCTTCCTGAAGGAAACTGCTGGAATCATTATTGGAGGACAGTGTCTTTCCTCTCAAGGATGTTTCTCACCAGAGGAGGGTCTTCAGTATCCCAGAAGACATAAAGGTCAAAACAGCAGTTCTCTGAAACACAACTTCTAGTTCTAGGTTCACCCAAAATTGTTATTCAAAGCAAAAGCAGCTTTTAAATCTGTTCCAGAATGGCAGACATGCAATGAATGACGACCGAATATAGCATGACTTAAGCATGAGGCAACATGCCCTAACAAAAATGAGAAGTACTTTTATCAGCTCCTTGCACCACAACATACACTTCTGACACTTGCCTTTCATCAGCTGCAGGCAAGAATATTGTGATACAACTAGCTGTTAGGCTGCAGCAATGCTGCAGAACACTAGCACATGAATGCGGAATGAACAATGGTAGTAGGCAACTGCAGCAGACAGATGCACAGAACGTTTGCCTTAAATATTTCTTGGACAAAAATGAGACCAGTTTCTGGTCCTGTGTGGCAAACTGGTAAGTGCCAAATGGAATGTGGTAGAGGAAAGCAGGAAACAGGTGCCTCAAACAGCCTCGGCCCAAATATGCGTGAGATCAGGAATCTTGCAAAGGCAGGATGGCCTTGTCTCATAGCATATCTCCCAAGGAGGTAAGGCAATAAATATGCTAATGAAGATTATCAAAAACAACGAAGGACCTTGCTCCTCTACGTGGCATACTGAACATGTGATTGTAGAAAAGTGTGTATAAATTGATGTGGGATAAAGCAGAAAGTTAGAAGAAGCAGCAAGACACAGAAGCATGTGGACCGAGATGACGACAAGGAGAAGCAGTGCAGAAGTAAAGACGATGGTATCCTTGAACCCCTATTGGCAGGACTAATGCAGGAACAGTGATCTCTCTCCCTTTTCCCTCCACTCTCTCCCTCCCCCCGCCTCCCCTCTCTCTTTCTTTCCCTTTCCCCTTTCTCACTAAGTAATGCAAGGCCTATCATACTGCTTGCTTAGTTTATACTTGGTTTCTATCTTGTAATCATGAAGTATAATACTGCCTATTAGAAGTTGTTATATGTCCTTTTTCCTTGTTATCTTTAAGTAACACACAGCATGCTGTAGTTTGTTGTATATCTAGTCTTATCCCATTTATCATTTAGTCATAGTATACTGCCTGCCCTAATGTGTCATGTAACTAAAACCAATTATCATGAGTCCAATTTATACATTGTGAGAAATTAATAAATGTTTGTGTATGGGCCTTGAGAATTGTCTCACCGTTGGTCCACTCCCTTGGGGAATTACGGATCTAAGTCACTTGTCCCCCTCTCCTGGGCAGGATGTGACAGCAACGTTGTCTTTCAGCAGCAGAAGGCCATAGTTGCCTTTCCTGTGTTCTACTACCAGACAGAAGCAACAGAAACATTTCCAGGCTGCTGAGCTTGACTACGGAAGTACCAGAAAAGACATGAAAATAAAAATCATAGAATCATAGAATGGTTTGGGTTGGAAGGGACCTTAAAGATCACCTAGTTTCAACCCCCTGGCCATGGGCAGGGCACCTTCCACTAGACCAGGCAGCTCAAAGCCCCATTCAACCTGGCCTTGAACAATTCCAGGGAGGGGGCATCCGCAACTTCCTTGGCAAGCTGTTCCAGTCTCACACCCTCACAGAAGAGGATTTCTTCTTAATGGCTAATCTAAATCTACTCTTTCAGTTTGAAACCGTTACCCCTCATCACTATGTTCCCTGAGAATAGTCCCTCCCCACCTTTCCCGTAGGCCTCCTTTAAATACTGGGAGGCCACTATAAGGTCTCTTCAGAGCTTTCTCTTCCCCAGGCTGAACAGCTCCAACTCTCCCAATCTGTCTTCATAGGGGTGGTGCTCCAACACCTGATCATCTTTGTGGTCCTCCTCTGGACTTGCTCCAACAGGACTATGCATTCCTTACATTGGGGGCCCCACAGCTTAACAAAGAACTGCAGGTGGGGTCTCACAAGAGTCGAGTGGCAGATTCACCTCCTTCAGCCTGCTGGCCATGCTTCTTTTGATGTAGCCCAGAACATAATTGTCTTTCTGCACTGTGAGGGCACACTGCTGTCCCATGTTCAGCTTTTCATCCACCAACACCTCCAATTCCTTCTTTGCAGAACTACCCTATATCCACTCCATTGTTCAGCCTGTATTTCTGCTTGGGATTGCCCCAATCCAGGTGAAGGGCCTTGCACTTGCTCTTGTTGAACTTGACAAGTTTGGCATGGGCTCACCTCTCAAGCCTGTCCAGGTCCCTCTTGATGGCATCTCTTCTCTGAAGCATGCCTACCACACCACACAGCTGGGTGTTGTCAAACTTGCTGAGGGTGCACTCAATTCCCTTGTCCATGTCACTGACACAGATGTTAAACAGCACCAGTCCCAATACCAACCTCGAGCCCCTTGTCTCCACTTGGATATCGGGCCGTTGACCACAATGCTTTGAGTGCAACCATTCAGCCAGCTCCTTATCCACCAAGTGGACCATCTGTCAAACTTACATCTCTCCAATTTAGAGACAAGGATATTGTGTGGGACAGTGTCAAATGCTTTGCGCAAGTCCAGGCAGATTACATCAGTTGCTCTTTCCTCATCGATCAACACTATAGCCCCATCATAGAAGGCATGCATGATTGGCCCTTAGTGAAGCCATGCTGGCTGTCACCAGTTGCCTTATTTTCCACAAGCCCTAGCACAGTTTCCTGGAGAATCCTGTCTATGATCTTGCCAGGCACAGAGGTGAGACTAACTGTGCTGTAGTCCCCTGGGTCATTTTTCCCTTTTTAAAATATATCAGTAACCTCTTCAAAGATGAAAATGATCCAAGGACTCTCATGTAGCAGTTTCTCTTGTCAAGGACTCTTCAACAACATCCAGGCTGCTCACTTAAGGATGGTACATCATTACAGCTGGCAAAGCAAGCCATGCTGAAAAAAGCTGCATCACAACAGTGACAAACCCCTTCCAAAGAGATCAGTTGAATCAATTCAAGTATAAGCTATTGCTATAAAGCTGAACTTCTACTAAATAAAGAGGATAAAGAGCAATCACATCAAAAAGTGAGGAGCAATATATTTTAGAATTGTAGGTTTTGTTCTGAACCCAACCTTCTGCTCAAAGATGGTAGCGTTGTACAGACAGTAGAGCTTCTGTGCCAGCTTCTCTTTATTTTTCTGGAAATACTTCACATAGTGGGAAGTCGGATTTGAGAGATCTTGCAAGAAACAGCCAGGCACTGAGCACAGCCTAAGCCTGCAAGAAAAGCCATAAAACAGTTTACTGAAGTAGAGAGTTACCACATTGAAAAACAACAGCCACTTCATAGCAAATAAAGATCTCTGGGATGCTGCCACTGACGTAAACCTCTCCTGACTCTTTTTCACTAGCTTGCACCTGTGAGGCCAGTGGGGCACACACACCTATGCTGTTCTTTCCCCTTAGGGGGTATGAAGGGGCAGAGTTGTTGCAGTAGTTCTGCAGTTATTTCATTAATTCATAAAACTAGATTAGGAGAACTCCTAAGTAGGAAGAGAATGGCTCACATCTTTGTGGTACAGCGAGCCACGATTATACCAATACTTGATCAACATATGAACAGCCCTAACATGGTCATCCACAATAAAGATGCATTTTCAGAAACATAGCCAAAGATGTTACAGGAATCCTCAGAATTCCACTAGGATTACTAAGTCCAATACTACAGCATTCTGACAAAGCATCAGCTTTGAAGACATCATTTAAAGGTTTTATTCCGGCACACGAAATTGTAAAAAGACTAAATGGCTAAAAGGTAGAACAAAAGCAGCTATTAGAAATGAGAAAGGCATTCTTCTGAAAAGCTTAAGCTGCATCCACATATAGAAAAAGAAACATAAATTCTGCAAGTTATAAAGATACAGATCAAAAATACCAAGACAAGCTTGTTAAAAGGCATGAATTACTAGTAGAATTAATTTTGATATATTTTTCAGAGGCAGGTAGCTGCCAGCACACATTAGAAGTATGCTATGCCAAAATATGGAAGAGTAAGAGAGCTAACATTTACATGTTAGATTTTACATTTATCAGATTTGTCATCAATCACTCTAAGCAGAGATTTGCTTATACACTCCCTGACATACTTGACTGAAAACTTTTGATTTCCAGCTACTTAACCATTAACAGTTGCTGAACTGGTAGCAGAATTTTCTAGGTTCCTGAAAAAACACAATGTCATTCTAGGTAAAGTGCTTAGCATCTCTTTGTTCATCTATAGTGGATGGGCATAACAGTAAATAGTAAAGATGGAGAAACACCTTTTCTCTGTCTCTGCTGACTGTGAGCAATTGATGAATTCATTCCTAGGAATTCTTGCAGAAGCCATTATCCTGGAAGGCGTTTCTGGAAGTAAAATGGAATTTGGCCTTGGTGTCTCGAATTCCTCCCCTTTCAAGGGCTGGGCAACTTCACAGGGTGGATTGATGTTTTCTAGTTTAACAGAAAAAGTCACAGGATTACACACAGTCAAAAAATCAAGAGTGCAGATGTCAACAACCAGGTAACAGACAACAATGAAAAAAGTAAAATATTCCACCTCAGCATACACACCCTTATTGTGCATATGTGAACGCAAAAGCTTTTACAACTGATGGAAAAGTAATTTGCTGTTAAATAGTACAAAAATTACTATTCAGTGAAGGAGTAGCAAACTCAAAATTTTCAAACATTCAGCTAGGAGGAGATGGAGGTAAAAACACTTGTGACTTCACTCAGGCAAATGCAGTGACATGTAAATTCTGTGACATTCCACCAATTCAAAATAGATCACCAGCACATTGGGAGCAATAATGCAGAGACATCATTTGAACACAAAAAAAATCATTCTAACCTTCTGTCAGGTACCATAAGTCACATTGTTTGTTTCGCATGCAAGTTCTGATCAGATAGCTGCCTATCTCCCTAGTCCACCTCTGGAGAGATTGCTGAAATAACTAACCCTCACACCAGAAATCAAGAACCACTTCAAGGTTTGCAGTTTCAGTAGACATTGTCTCTCTGCTGTCTTTTCTATAGCTATTTCTCTGTTTGGGCCAACTATCTCCTATTCAGTCATACACAGAGAAGCCGATGCAGCTACCAGCTCACTTCTAGAATATGCTTTATAGAGCACATTTACATTTTCCATTTCAAAAAGAAACATGCCCTGGGAAAGGGCAATTTTTTTATGCCGTCAGCCATCCTCTTCCATAGATCTACCTGCCCTGAACTAGTTCTTGTTAGTGAGCTAGGCAGTCTGTGTTTACTTTCCTAGAAAAAGATTAATTTTCACCTGCTCTTACTCAGAAGTAGCTCTTTTCCTCCTTTGCAGTCTTTGAGCTGAAGCCCACTTCAGTTTGTCGAAGGAGAAAAGGAGTTACTGATTTACGAAATTCTCATTATAAACTGTATTTTAAATAAAATTAAGTCAAATACAAACCCAAATACTACATTAACCGTATCTAAACTGCTAAAAATTTGTCTTACAAAAATGACAGCTTTGTATTATAACTGCCATCACACATAGAAAAAAAATAGTTAACATCATTAAAAAACAGGTTAGATTTGTTTTCAGAACAACTTTAGAAACAAAAAATGCCTACAACATTAAGAACTATAAAAACAAGCCATAGTGAAAAATTTAGATTTTGATATCACAAGACTAGCAGAACCACTTTTCAGAATGCCCAGAGGAATAATTTCTGATTACACAAAATTCAATTGCAAGATGTTGGGCTGCACTTCTACAGCATATGCCACACAAATGGCACAAATTGGACAATTAACACTGCTGCTAATAAGTAGCTTGCAAGTTAGCGAAGGATGATTGCTTACCTGTTGTGCTTGGCCAGCTGACAGTTTTATTTGTGCTTAAGATTGAGTTTTGAGGTGTACTTCGTTTCCTTATTCGTTCTATTAATGATTCAAATTCGTCATCTGAGTTATCTGATACTACCTCTGTACTTGGTCGTAGTGCCTTATTTTCTGTACTCTTTTCACAGCTTCTCTCTTTCCTTTTAACAATTAAGTCACTGCCACTGGAAATTGGCTCTTTCAGATTTTGTGGGGGTGGGAGTTTTATGCACATTAGACTCTCTTTCAAGTCTTCTACTTTTTGATAGTTATGCCATGAACTTTCTACAAAGACAGAATCTTCAGTGTCACTAGAAGCCTCTGGATACTGAAGTTCTTGGAAGAAGGTGGTTTTCTTTCCAGAACTCATCAACTTCTTTGGTGTCTGAATATCCTTCTGTGCTGCAATCCAAAAGAAAAAGCTTAACGTCTTGGTAATTTCGTTTAGGAGACCTGTCTTTCTCTTAATGTTGTAATCAAACTTAAGTTTTAAGGA